GATTCCCATATACTCCAACACTGGCATTTTAGTGTAAATTTGGAAACACGATTAAGGCATGCGTTCTGTGGCTTTACAGTCGCAACCAAGATATGAATCCCGCAAGTATGAAATGGAGAGCTACATTAAAACCAACCTGTTTTTAAATCTGGAAGCACAATCTGTGCAAAATGTCCTTTTAAAACTGATTATTATTCAATCTTCCTAAGTTACCGTTAACGTTTTGCACATAACGATGTCGGCTGCTATATATCACCGTTGGCCTTTGTATCTCATATTGATGATAAACTCAGTCTCTCCTTCCATTTCTATCGCGGTTTTAAATTTAAGGCACGATATGAACATACATAATTCAATGCACTGAACTTCAATCTAACATAAAATCTCGGTATAGGAGAGGTGGTCGTCCAGGGCGCCATGTGACGTCTCGTGGTATGTGTCTTTGGTCCAACATTGTGTATTATCCTCGCTCAGTCTTTGATAAACCTGTCTTCTGACCAACACTTGCATTCTCCTTATTGTACCACGGGTTACCAGCACACTTGACTTGCACTATCTATATTTATATTCTCATATGCTGAGCTGATAACGTATATTCATATCATAAAACAAGTCTCTATTTGCGTTCAATTTTCAATATTGTTTTAAATAATGCGCACCTTGCACGTCGATTGTACCAGTAGGCCGATTACACACAGTCTAAGTAGAGTTTGGTTTACCCCCATTTCACCGATATCATATAGACTAATTGCACTATAGATCTTAATTAACCCATACCAAAGGATCTGGCGTCACTTTGTTTAAGTATTGTCAATAACGTGGTATTGACATAGTAGAAGGGAATGCTGCTGCGTTGAGACTGAAACAGTACATATATATATAACTTGCAAAAGGAATTAACAGCATGCGAATACATTCGCACGTTCAGGATCGTCTTAATCGCAACCAACGCTAGGGCAGCATGGCAAAACAAGATACAAACCTTGCTCTTACTGAAACATAAAGTTCGAGAATCATCCCTAATATGTATGTGGAGCAGAAAATTTAAAATATTTGAAGGTACATTTTCCTGTATATTGCCGTCAACCACCTATCAACAAAAAATAATTTATACCTTTCATATAAGGCAGACTCCAATTAACACTCAAGATTATGTCATAGCTAGCTACAAAACATGCATGCTCGTAAGCTCCACTATTATGAGATGTCCCCGTTCGGTCCCAGTTTCATTATGACAGCAAACCTGATAGGTCAACAGACACCCCGGGAGTTAAGAATACCCACAAAGTATTTGTTTATACATTATTTAGGAATATCCCCGAAGAATGACATTTGAAAGAATAATTTCAAACAGGAACATTGAAAAGATTAACCAAAATATGAGTCTTGACTGATATGATGTACATATAAGTGGACTTAATAAACAGGTATTGTACGACTTCATTTCTGTTAAATACCTAACGAAATCAAGGAGTTTAAGTTCGCCTACGGCAAAACCAAATACAAAACAACTATCCCGCCGTCTAGCTGGCTGTGAGTGGCGAAATGTACAAGTTTATTGAGCTGTGACCTTTCGTTTCACTGTTAGCAACCCACTTTATGCCAAAGTTGAGACCAATCCTCCAGAGCGAGACAAAACACGGTGGTAATTACTGCAGTGTAATTAATGTACGGAGAAAGGCCAGCCGTAGCTTTCCTTAAATACCATCACATGTCTCCGTACCTAAAAAAATCTCTTAATATATAAAAATAACATGCACGTGATAAACATAAACAGTCAGTAATGCATAATTAGTCTACACAATTATAGAGCAGGACAGGGTACAAGCGGGAATTAGGTATATTGACATGAATCTAAATTGATGACAGGACTTGACAGGATGACTAACATACACAGTATTAGGGTTGTGGTTTGTTGTACGCTGAATTTAACTGACATACTACATATAAGCTTTGTGTTTGTTTCACAGTTTCGAAGCAAGTAAGTGTTTTGCCTGTGTATATAGTTACGGTATCTTCAATATAAATATAGGAAAGAGTCTATCCTACATAGCATATTCATAAGCATGTTACATGAGCTTTAATGCATCAGACTTAAACATGCTTATATTTGTGTGTAAGATTGTAGCTATCTTTACGTTTGACCCGTTGGTAGATATGTTGACGTTTTGACACATAGGTAGCTGTGTTGACAATTCAACCCGAAGGTTTCCATGTTGACGCTTTGTCCCGTTGGTAGATATGTTGACGTGTTGACCCATATATAGCTATGTTGACGTGTTGAACCATATATAGCTATGTTGACGTATTGACCTATATGTAGCTATGTTGACGTTTTTACCTGAGGTAGCTATGTTGATGTTTTGACCCATAGGTAGCTATGTTGACGTTTTTACCCATATGTAACTATGTTGACGTTTTGACTCATATGTAGCTATGTTGACGTTTGTACCTGTAGGTAGCTATGTTGACGTTTGTACCTGTAGGTAGCTATGTTGACGTTTGTACCTGTAGGTAGCTATGTTGACGTTTGTACCTGTAGGTAGCTATGTTGACAATTTGACCCGTATGTTTTCATGTTGACGTTGTGACCTTTCATCAAGACGGTCCTGATTATATTCCCCGATCGGACGTTAACAGGTACGTGGGTAACCAGCCCAATCACGCTGGCATTCCCGGATAATAAGGTTTCCTCTCACATCAAAACTTCCATCTAGACCAACACAGGTGGTTAATATACGTTTGAAAAACTTATTTCATAATAATTGTAAAATGCATAGTTGTAGCTAGTTTTTAACGCTGTGGCTCGAAGGTATTTAATCATCGATCGTCTGAATTTCGATAATCTGGATATTAAGTTAATTACATTTTTAAGTAATTTAATCATTTTAGTTGTCGACTTTTATTTAATTTACCCGAATAACTCGTTTATTTGGACTTTGTTTGAGGAAACGTTGGACCGGATGAAAGTACGTTAAGAATAAATGAAAAGTATCTATTGACAAACACAGAACAAAGAAAAACAAATAACGCTAGAAGCATTATTAAACATACGTGTAGCATTGTAAAACCAACATGTGGTATTGTAAAACCAAATTGTGGCATTGTAAAACCAAATTGTGGCATTGTAAAACCAACATGCAGCATTGTAAAACCAACGTGTAGCATTGTAAAACCAACGTGTAGCATTGTTACACCAATTTGTGGCTTTGTAAAACCAACTTTAAGCATTGTAAAACCAACATGTTGCATTGTTAACCAACTTGTGACATTGTAAAACCAACGTGTGGCATTGTAAAACCCACATGTAGCTTTGTAACACCAACATTTAGCATTGTAACATCAACATGTAGCATTGTTAAACCAACGTGTAGCATTGTAAAACCAACGTGTGGCATTGTAACACCAACATTTAGCATTGTAACACCAACTTGTGGCATTGTAAAACCAACTTGTAGCATTGTAAAACCCACATTTAGCATTGTAACACCAACTTGTGGCTTTGTAAAACCAACATGTAGCATTGTAAAACCCACATTTAGCATTGTAAAACCAACTTGTAGCATTTTAACACCAACTTGTAGCATTCTAACACCATCTTGTGGCATTGAAATACCAACGTGTGGCGTTGTAAAACCTACATGCAGCAATGTAAAACGAACTTTAAGCATTGTAAAACCAACATGTAGCATTATAAAACCAAATTGTGGCATTGTAAAACCAACTTGTGGCATTGTAAAACCAAATTGTAGCATTGTAAAACCAAATTGTTGCATTGTAAAACCAAATTGTAGCATTGTTAAACAAACTTGTGACATTGTAAAACCAAATTGTAGCATTGTAAAACCAAATTGTGGCATTGTAAAACCAACTTGTGGCATTGTAAAACCAAATTGTAGCATTGTTAAACAAACTTGTGACATTGTAAAACCAACGTGTGGCATTGTAAAACCAACTTGCAGCATTTTAATACCAACTTTTGCCATTGTAAAACCAACTTATGGCATGAAAAACCAGTTTGTGGAATTGAAAAACCAACATGTGGTTATTAAAACCAACTTATGGCATTGAAAACCCAACTTTAAGCATTGTTAACCAACTTGTGGCATTAAAAAAACAACTTCTGGCATTGTAAAACCAACGTGAAGCATTGTAAACCAACTTGTTTTATTGTAAAACCAATTTTTAAGCATTGTTAAATCAACTTAAAGTATTGTAAAAAATAGCTTGAAATTGAGACTTAGTTGATTTAAGATATTTTATTGATATTTTTGACAAATAAGACAGATTGTTAATATTACATGGTCATGCGATATGTCGTGAATATAATGTTTCTTTTGGTCAAAATAATAGGTAGTTAAGATTAAAGTACTTTAATTATTGTAATTAATAGGAACCGACAGCAAAAGATTAGTACATGTCTTAAAATAACCGCAATATATAACGACGAACCAAGGCATTAAGTATTAAAACACACAGGAAAAGCAATATTATCTATCAATTTCATTACCATGGCCAAGATTTAATCGAAATAGTAAAGTAGTGCATCTGTGATATCATGATGGAACTATTAAATAACTCCATACCCTAAGTACCGGGCATTATTCTCCATCAAACATTAATCCCAGCACACACGTATAGGCGTATCGATCCACCCTCGGTTCTCGCTTCGGTTTTCAGGCCAGTCTCAGATTGACGCATATTCTTTTGACCACAAAAACATTTGTCTCCATTGCCGTTCGCAGACACTTGTTTTCGGGATAATTTGGGGAGCTTATTTTCGTTTTCTATGGGCATATCAGATTGGGTATTATTTTCCCTGACCCCAGAGCATCAGTGCCAATAGGACTCCCACAGGATGGCGGGGTAGCGATTAGACAATTCTACGGAGCAAGCTTCTAACAACCTGTTTAACCTCGTGCATGAAGCATTGCTTGCAATGGTGACGTTACAATGGCCAGAACAAATAATCTAGCGCGATGGCTAATTGGGCCGGTAGCGCGGAGACTTACGTACATTTGTTTGTAACACGATATCACGGGGATATGGCATTCGCCATACTCACTGCAGATGGAGAAAAATCCTTTGGCAAATCGGCAAGGCAACTACGACTACTCGCAACTCTAGGCTGAAACTGACTCTCACTAACCACACACTGCTGAGCGGAGGGAATAGTGGGGGAGTGTTCGCGTGTGTATACTTACTTCCCTAATTTGTGACGTAGACAGTGAAGGGGAATGTACCTACTTTCACTGAGGGATAGTTTACTCACAAAACTTGTAACTTTGTGTTAGTTTGTTGTTACCGGCGTAGTTTGGATTACGAAATCTTCCCATCCTCCCGGCGTGATTGCTCACACGAGGTAAGATAAGTTAGTCTGTGTGTGGGGGGAGAGTGTTTTTGTTAGCAGATAGACCTTAATGTTTGTATATCATTTACTCGAGTTGGTATCCCGTTCGGTTCAGTAAAAATACCGATATAGCGTTTACGCGTGTATAGCTGCCCTGTAGATGAAACTAATGCAGGTTGGTGGTGTCGATGAAGCTGACTAGAGTTGATCGACTAGCTTTAATGATAGCATGCCACTATACCAAAATAGCAAAAGATGTATACTTGTCGATACATACGCGAAAGCAAGTCTACTCGTGTAATCTGGGAAAATCAATGGTTCTGTGGTTGTAAAGACGATCAGTGTTCCGGTATTTATTGCTCTGTCATAACCTAATGTGGTATTTCCTGTACAACATCCACGTCCCGTTATTAGTTATATTACTGTAATGACAAGCTTCACAAATGGTCCGTTCTCGTGAACACGACATCCTCTTTTTACGACTCTCATTGTGTCGTCTGTATCCACTTTTCACAGCTAGTGAGCCCGATGTCTTCCCATCCCCGATTTACGGGGACAAGCATGTTATCATTAGAGATCAAGTTAGTTTAGGTCGTACATGTTGGACAGTAGCCCCGTCTCCTGGTTGTGTATATGAGACCGTCTACCGGCTAACTGACAAACCAGTGGCTCCGTCACACTTCGAGTCCAAGCAAAACACAAAACACTTTTCGACGTAAATCAATAGTCCATTAGTTTAGATAGGTTGTACGGATACATTTTTGCCAAAATTGAACAATGGATTAACTTAATCCACGCTTTTTACTTTACATTTACAAGCAAAAGATATATTATTGAGACAATAAAATAATAATTAATTATATAGTTATTACGTATATATGTAGATTTACATGCTTTTTCAAAAAGTTTACGTAAAAAATACACAAGGATTGAAGCTATTAAACAAAATATATACAAGAAACAACGATTGAAGCTACGAGAAAAAAACGTTGTACTTTTTGTCAAAATTTCATTTCCTGGAACATTTTAATGGTCTAATACGAATTCAAAATATACCCTTTTCAAGACAGATAAAAACTAAACAACTGACCAATAATGATATTCTTAGTTTATAGTCTAATTCCTGATATGTTGTATTGATGAATTACATAAGCAACATTTCTTTGACAAGGAAACATTGTGACGTGTTCTAAACTTGTAAATGGGTTCGTGACTGTTTCGCCTAAAGTCTTTGAGTATTTTGAGTACTGACAATAACAGTTACATACACATTACTCTATCGACGACACCTTACTGTCTCGCACACCGGACACAATCAGACGGAAAGGTCGACCGTAATTGTCTGCTGTGCCACACGGGCGAGGAACTATCTCGCTTGGTTTGAACGCGAGGTCGCACTACCTCCTTTACTCGCTAACATGTAAACATAGGGGATAGATGAGATAAGAAGTATAATTATTAAAACACATTTCACTTACTGGCATCTGAAGGCGAGCCGGCGATACGGCACCACACATGTAGGTAGTGAATGTATGGTAATGTTTACATCTGCAAGAGGGATTCACGAATTGACCCAAAACCAAAAAGGTTAAAAGGCAAGAAAATGTTTCTAATTGGATGTTTATATTTAGCGTTCGGATGTATTTGATATCGGTACATATCACTCGACATTTGACGTGAACGTGACGTCAATGAGAGACTAAAATTAGAAAACGAGATAAATTTCTTCTAAAACATATTTTGCGAGATAAAGAACAAAACAGTTACGACAACTATTCAAAATGCAACAATAAAACTGGTACTGATCAAGCAAAGTAATGTTATATAAAACAGCACCGTATGTGTTGAAATTAAAGTATGTACATTTCAGTGCACAAGTAACTTTTAAAACAATCTGATGAACAGAGTACACGTATACCACGGAAAGAGCACATCTGGTTTCGTGGTTTTGACCCTAAATATGAAAGGTCAAAATGCCAATAAATCCTATGCTTACTGGCGTGTTTACATCTGGTTTCATAGCTTTGACCTCAGAGTGCACGCTGAATCAGCATGATGGATTCAACAAATGAGGAATTGACAGCTGAAATTCTGTTTTTCACCTTGAAGATAGGGAGTCAAACATCTTTATATTACTGACTGGTTAGTGCTGCCTAGGAAAAAGGGTTAGATAAGTACTAGTATTGCTTCAGTTTCCCCCACATTACATGTTCGTACCAGTTTCGTTAAATTGGATCTGACGAGGAGCAGAACTCTAATACATAAACTACAATGCTGGTCCGCGTGTTCAAAGAGCCAGCCATTAAACCATACCACTGTATTTGTACAGACGAATTTTACATCTTCACCTTCTATTGTTAACAAATCAGTAAGATAACCCACCCTAGATGTATCTACATAACCAGGTTACTTGGTAAACTGGGATAAATAGATACACATGTATCCATATACAAAACGTGTTCTAAAGCATTCGTAGTTAATGTATAAGCCTGTTCATGGTAACAATATCCCCAGGTTTTTGTTTTGAGTTTCGCTTTTCTGTTGCACTATATTTACGTCGAATTCAAAAAATAGATATAGCCACTGTGATACTGATATCTGGTTCAGATGTGGTTAGTTATTTTAAATTTACTGCCTTTGTTTCCATCTCTGTCGACCTGTATGTAAATCAAATCGGACAGAATCACAGTGTGACTATCGGCATTGTGAAGTAAGTTAAGCCACCACTGTGTAGCAGTCACGGCTTGGTATCCGTAGTTATTTATAACCGCCACGTGGTAAGTATGCGCTCCGACCTGGCGTGTGTTCTACACGTGTTCTTCGTGCTAACACCACGTGGTAGGAATGCGCCCCGATTGGCGTGTATTCTACACGTGTCGGACGTGTCACCACGGTGTGCCATTCAGATACATTTACATGTCAATATCCCATGCAATTCGTGGTCTGAATCCCGTGTGCCTTCCCCTGTTCCAACAATAACCAACAACACTAAATAAATGCATTGCTTGGATATCGTCGCGCTTACGACATTGTTCCCAATTACGACCAGAAACCTTGTCTTCGTGCGGATACATCTTTGTTTTCATTTCCAAATCAAATTCTTCAAGTATTTCCGGAGTGCCATCATACCTTAAAGCTGTACGGTATGTTGTAATTTCAACCATTAGTTTATTTTATCTCATTACACAACCCATGTACAGTACAGTGTTCATACACATCCATGTCCTTTTTTGTCGTTGGTAACTAGTTACCTATGACGTGTTATTTGTGACGTCTAAGATGGTTTAATTATGTCTTCACATAACTTCGAAATCTACGGGTTTCGCTCCTTATCTTTATCAGAGAGCACTGAAGAATAAACCGAAATCCCTGAATGTCGAAGATAGTCGCCATTGTAAGAAGGGTGGTTACCTCCATTTTCATTACCAAAATTCAAAACAAAACAAAATCATATATTTGTATAGATTTCATTTACACGTGCTCAATTGCAATAAACATTAAGGAATAGCTTTACATCCCTTATTTCTAACATCACCTTATCACCTGATCAAAATAGACAGGTGTTCCAGATATAAACAGTATTTTCTGCAAAAGCATCATAACTGTTTTATTCATTAGTCAGATCAAGGGACACACATTTCATTTTCGAATCTTATTAACGTGTGATCGGTTCAATACAAGTAACTGCCTGATATTTGAAAAAGCCTTGGTTAGCTCCGCTCACCTCTACTATTAATGACGTCACATAAATTATTCGCGGGAAATTTGCATAGATCCGCCTACTTAAATTGTTTTTCAACGTCAAGGAAATTTGCCACATGTTATGGTCAGGTAATTAGATGATAATTCCAGTTTGCAGGAACAGTGATTATTAAGTAAATGTGAGTGTTCACTGTAAATATTTAGAAAAGGACAATTCATAAAAATGAAAAATCTTTATATAAATTATGTCTATAAAATATTGAGATTAAAAATAAATATGTAAGTACATACATATACAAGCATGCTTACACTAAAACATTTCATCCCGGAAACAAGCATATTAATTCGTTGTCCAACTTTGGAAGAAAGTCTTCCTCTGAGACGACGTAACGATAAAGTCACCGTGGAACCAATTGAAATCCTGGCAGGGAAACAACTTCGTCGAGCCAAAGATCAGTAGCATGCCTCTCTTCGTTATCTTTACGTACCAATATGTCTAATGAATAGACATGCTTGTTTCTACCAAAAAGACTTGGACGTGGTATTGATATCGGTCCAAATAATAGTCTATGAGGTAAACGTTATTATTGATTTTCTGTCGTCTCTTTAGAGCCAGCTTCGTATTTGTTAAGTTAACGTATCTAAGGCGGGTGCAACATCAAATCATTCACATTCTAATTACGTAAGCAGTGAAATAATTAATGATTTAACTCAGACAGAATGTGGGAAAGTGACATCACACAGATATGGTGTATTCATGGGATAATGAGTAACTGTATACTAGCAAAGTATGAGATAATAGGCGACATCAACCAGGCCGGAAGTGAGCTAATGACTGACATCACTATGGCCGAAGGGATGTACACTGGCAGGATGTGACCTAAGAACTGACATCAAAAAGACCGGATGTGAGTTAAGGACTGATATAAAAAAGTCCGGAACTAAGATAATGAGTGACATCACACTGGCCGGAAGTGAGATATATACATGTATATATGTAATTAATTTCACAGACCGGGTGTGAGAATTAATCCTAAACAAATTTCTTTGCTGCTATATAACGTCAACACCTTTATAGTTCTACATTAACTAAATCGTTTACGTATTAAGCGTAGAAATTCATTTCATTTCAGTACTTTTTGAATACTGATCTTAAATGATGCATACACATTTTTGTTTACAGACACAAACTGAACTGATCGTCTGATTTCAAAGAATACGTTATGAACAACTTTCACATGTACGATTGTCACTAAAGAATACACTTGCATCTAACAAAATTCCATAATTGTTTCTAATCCCTCAGATAG